GTACAAATCAAGTGTCCTTAGCTTGATGTCTTTACAATCCATCTTACCTACCCTAAGATCCCAAAATATTTTATATCTTTAATTCCTTAACCGTTCATTTAATTACTTACCCGATTGACACCCGATTTTCGACCAATTTCAACAATTCGCACCTCAATAATTAAATGTCATATAAAATCCATATTAATAGAGTAGTGATCATGTCACTTCATGCCTCATGTCCTAAATATATCAAATTACCTACGGTGACCTTGATCAACCGAATGGAAAGCTAGAAAATGTGCACAATGTACCAAACACTAAATGGTACCAAAATACTCAAAATGTTTAAAAATGCTCAATATGCAACAAAATACGGAAAAGTACCAAAACGTGAAAAAAAGGAACCAAGCTTACGAAAAAAATTACAAAAAAACAAAATGTATTAAAATGAGCGAAAATTCGTGAAATGTATCAACGCTCTATTTAATGTAATAAAACGGTAAAAAGCTTACCAAAATGCTAATTGTTGCACGAAATGTTACAAAAAATTACAAAATGTACCATTATGCTGTAAAGGGGAAAAGTCAAAAGACAACAAGCATTAAATGTACAAAAATTTGCTTGAAATTTACCAAAAATCTCCATTATGTTCCAAAAGGTACAAAATGCCCATAAAAGCGAGAACCTACACAACATTTGATGCGAACCCAGTTGCAGGATGTATTCTGGAGAACACACAATATTTGATACAAACTGTAAGAAAGCTAAAATTGAGTAATGTTATTCATCCCCAGTGGGGATGAATAGCATTACTCGCTAAAATTAGATGAAGAACTTTGATGGAATGATTTCTTGAATCAAGAACAAAGACTAGAAGGATCAAAAGCCAGAAAAATAGGAAATCTTTGATAAGTTCTGGATACTTCAATCAAGATTAAGATTGAAAGAAAATGCTCACTTTATAATTAATTCCTCAAAATAATGTGTTGTTTACGTTTGTACAACGAATATAGGCAGATTCAAAAACCTCAATTTAACTCGTAAAATGTCAAGATAATGCTAACAAGCAGATTTCTCAACTAAATAAAAAACTAAACTCCGTCTAATAATTTTTATACCATGCGTATGCATAGTTTTTTGTAGCGCAAGCATAGCACAAACTATTTCATTTCGAGTTCTGAATCTATGATGTTTGCGCAAGCCTTCCCTTAAAGCCATGCTTACACATATTTTCTCAGCTAGTCTCCTGGCTCTGCTTCTTCCACCTTAGCTTGAATCAAATGCCATAAGGTTGGCTCTTCTTCTTTCACGCCTATCTTTAGGGTTGGTGTCTTGATTAGCACTTGAGCTCCCAACCCACATAGCTTAGACAAGTCTTTGCATAGCTTCTTTGATCTTCTTTGCTCTTCATCTCATTGCCGAACCCTCCAGTACATGTAAGGGATCCATTCTAGTTTGCCCCTCCTTGATACTCTTCATTAGGGTTTCTTTATGTTCACCTATATAAAGCATATTCTTTGTACAAGCATACACAACATGTCATTTGAGAGATAAATTAAAAAGTGATGATTCTCTTTCAATCTTGTTCTTAATTGAACTATCCAGAACTTATAAAAAATTTCCAATCTTCGTGGCGTTCACCCCTTAAAACCTTGGTTCTTGATTCAAGAAATCGTTATGTTCTTCCTTAATTTTAGCTTTCTCGGAGTTCATATCAAGTCCTTTGTGGGTTTCAAGGTATATCCTACAAGTTCACGTCATGTGCCTACTAAAAACTATAAAAGGTACCAAAAGTACTTGGAAATGGAAACTGATCCAACATCTAACAGAATGCATAAAACATTCCAAAATACGATTAAATATACCAAAATAATCCAAAATGAGCGAATATAACGGAACTCTCCAAAATGTACTAAAGGGAGCCAAATGTTCCAAAATGTGCAAAATTTACAAAAAAGAAGCTCCAAAATGTACCAAAATATGTAACATTTAAGAAATGATCCAAAATGCGGACAATGTACCAATAACTACAAAAGGTGC